AGTATTTTAATGTGTCTATATATAATTCATATACATAATCTTTTTTTCTTTTTTTTATATGCATAAAAAATGTGATCCAACACAACTGACAGAGCTACCCTGGCATGTCTTGAACAGGAGAACAACATTATTGCTGTTTTCCCAGGATCAAGGGTCTTTATTTGTAGTGTTTGCAGCCAAATTTCAGCTTAGGCAACTGTTCTGCTTCCTCTAATTCCCTCTTTATAAACTGTGTAGTTGTTCTCCTTTTCACTATTAAACTGCAGGGCTGCATTATAAATTCACTGTGGTGGATGAAGTAATTCATGTATAGTAGGGGCTAAACTCTCTTCTCCATGTCATTAATTTTATACTAGTTTAACTACTCACCTCAATGGAATTATAATGTAGAAGAGCAGAATTCCTGATACTTTGGGGAGGGTGGGGAGGAAGAAGAACAAAGGCCCCATTGAGAGTGCATATTTGTACTATAAAGATAAAAATACTTACAAAAATAGTTTTCTTTTGTCTTGGGGATTGGAAGTTATGTTCAGAGTAGGGCTGGTGTTCATTTTAAAGGAAATGACACTGCAAGCATTGAAACTTACTTTTTGGTTTCAGTGGAAGTCTAGATTGAAGGCACAGACTATTGAAGTGCACGGGGTAGGAAATTAGGCTCTAACCACCCCTGGGGTAGGTAGTACAAGGCAGAGGGAGAGGATGGGTTTTTGTTGGGGTCAGGGTGTTTAAAAGCAGTTTTCTGAAGTGAAACAGTTAATCATTAAAACAGCAAAAATGAACAGTGCCCATATACAAATACCTAACAAAGAGTAACAATGGGGCAAGCATGCACAAGGCATAACACACGTGTGTGCATGTGCTCTGAACCTCCTGCTTTTCCCAGTTCCGGTGATTTCCCAGTTCTGTTGTGGTTTGTCTGTCTGGTAACTCCCAATGATCTCACCCCTAAACATTTGTCCCTTCTTTCCTCGAACCCATGTAAACATTTTTGCATTCACAACTTCCTTCAGCAACGTATTCCAGGATTATGCTACCCTGTGCCTTCCTAGTTTTTTTGAACGTGAGTCCCTCTAGTTTCATTTACTGCACTTCCTTGAAAAGACTGTCTACCCCTATCCAGCCTTTCCATGTCACTCATGATTTTGCACACATGTCATATCACAGCAAAATTCCCTGCCACAGGCTGAAATGTTTTGCTTACCTGTTGTCCCTCATATGGAAGCTTTTGACTATCCCTGTTGTCCTCTTCTGCATATTTTTGCTTTTCTGATAAGGGATGAATTTCAAGACAAGGAGTTCAGCAATGTGGACACCGTTCACATATATATATATATATATAAAAAATTATATATATATATATATATGTATGTTTACTAAGTTGAATTATCGATTTAAACAGTGGCATAGTGACATGTTCTGTTCTTCATTCTTTTTTTAATTCCAAACATTTCCTGAGTTTTTTCACTGCTATTGAGCACTGACTTATTATTCAATGGAACCAACTGTTGTGACCTCCAATTCTTGCTCTGTTAATGGCAAGCTCAGAGCCATCATTTCATGTATAAAGCTAGGATTCTTCTTCCTTGTGTGCACTGCTTTGTGCTTATTTCTATTGGGTTTCACTTGCTGTTTTACTGAACAGTCTTGTAATGTCCTTTAGGTTTCACAGTCTGATCTCATCCTTACTCCTCCGACTGTACTTCATATTACTGGCACGCTTCCTTGTCTTAGCACTCACACCTATTTCAAGGTTATGAATGAATAAAATGATCAGTGCAATCCAAATAGATTCCACTAATCGTTTCCCTCCACTGCAAGTACTGACCAATTATCCATACCTCACCTCCTCCACCTTTTTTGCTTACTCATTCCTGGACCTTCCCACTTAGTTTTCTTAAAAGCTTTTGATGAGGGACTCTGTAAAAACACATTTTGGTTATATCAACTGTTTTGCTGTTCTTGCTGATTTCTGCAAATAATTTGAAAGACGAGACTTCCCTATACAGAACCTGTGCTGGTATCCTTGTCTGACACATAAACCTAAAGAGGTTGTATATTTGTAGTTGCCCACTAATTCCACCTAGCAGAAATTGCTTTCTGTTTCTGATTTGCTTCTCATCCTCTGACCCATCCTTCACATAAAGTAAGGTTTTTTCATACTTGCATACGAAGAAACACTATACCAAATTGTGAGGCGTTCTGCACGTAGTTGACTTTTTCTTACTCGTAAGTGTCAAAGTTCACTCACAGTCTTTGTTTAAAGTGCTAGCAGCTTGGTCCCCTACAGTGCAGGTGAAGTCCATCCTTCTTGTGCAGGTTTTTAACACGTGTGTTCCTAGGGAACTTTACAAATTGAAGAAAACAGCCTTTTAGAGTTTTGTGCTTCAGATAAATTTGTACTGACTTCACACACCATCTACATCTAATAGACACGTCCTAGGAAAAGACACAAATCAGAAAAGATTGACTTGTTTTAATGTTAGGAAGAGACAAGCTGTCACAGTTGAAAACTTTTGAAATTAGGGTTTGTGATTAGAGTTTTGATGAAGAGGTCTCATACAGCAAAAACATCCTCAATTCTATGTTGATTTGTTTGTAGAAACATCTTTTTTTTTTTTTTCCTCAAAAATAGGATTATAGTGGATCAACAAATTTATCGAACTTCTGTCCCTGAATATTCCAAATATTAATGAATATATTGAGGTGATGATGGGGTTAGTGATGCCCTGTAGAAACGTTAAAATCTCATAGTCCTGCTCTGTTCATACAGCTATAATGAAGAAGGCTGTATTATGGATAATTTAGATAATCTGCAGGGGAGCTAAAGCAGTGACTGTGAAGGAGAACGTGGCATGTTGTCCCCCTAGGCCATGGAGAACTCCATTTGCTGAAATAGCTCCTAACTGCTATTTAGTGGGCAGCTAGTGGAAAATAAAATTGCTTCAGGCAGTTGAGAATCTTACTCTGTATTATTAATGTTTGCAGTCTGGGTAAAGAATAGGGTAAACTAATTCCATTTTTACTAATGGAAGAAAACTTGAGGCAAAAGGAAAGGGAGGAAAAGATCAGTATCTTCTTTTAGCAAGATTTCTTCTGAAGGTGGGGGATTGTTTGGTTGTGTTGGGATTTTGTTGAGGGTGGAGGGAGGTGGTGATTCTTGATGATGGCTAGAAGTAGTAGCTAGGACACCTGTTGCTGTTTCTGGAGATAGTGACTTCTGATAGTGACTAATGGTCACCCAAAGCATCTTTTGATCAAGATGATAATCTTAGCGGGAACTCAGACATTTATGAAAAACTGAAGGTAACAGAAGAGCATTTTGTAAGAGGAATGTTTCACACCCTGGTGAAGTTCACCACAGTGTGCTGAAATCATCTGGGGAAATGAGAACATAGATTGTGTACGCTAGCGAGTGATGGGATTAACAGGGTAGGTTTCCTCTAAGGAAATCTGGAAGCTTTCAAATTCTCTGGGTGGTGTTTGGGTTTGTTTTTTTAAGAGTAAAGAAGCTAAAATAAAGCCAGCTTTATGGTGTTGAGATGATGAAATGTTATGAATCTATATAAAATGGATCCAGAGGAATGTGTTGATCTGGGAATCCATGTGTCCACTTATACCTAAACGTTTTGCAGACATACGTACTATTGTTAAATACGACTATGAGACGAAAAACAAAATAGTAATATATAAAAGATACTGGAGTCTAGGAGGGCTGTGGAAGGAGTCCAGCAGAAAAACTTCTCTTCCAAGTTCCCCACGTACTAGCCCTGGAGGAGACTTTCATTTCTACTAAAGTAGGTTTCCCAAAATGATGTCATCTGTGAACTGGCTGCCCTTAGGCGATGAGAGGAACGCTTTGGAGATTCTATAATGTTTTCAGCAGGATAGTATGATGATCTTACCTCAGGCAAGTGTTTCTTTTCCTTCCCACCCAAACTGAGTCAGCTCTTTTCTCAGTGTGCCACCCGCTCTCCTGCGGACTGGATGTTACACATATGCAGTGCATGTGGTGTATCTCTTCTTGGAAATATCTTCCAAAGTGTGAATGGCTTTCCCTCCTGATGCCTCCTAGTTCTTGAGCAGACTAAGAGCCTGCATGACTTAATGAAGAAGAGAAGACTTCTAACATGTAAATGTTAGCAAGTGAACCAGTTAGTACTCTAACATGCATACTCAACAGTCTAACGTGCAGGTAAGCCCTTATTCAGTGCTTATGTTTCTTTCCCAGACAAATGTCACGCTGAAATTTCTGGGGTAGGTGGCAGTGTCTGTTTGTTTGCTTGCAAAAAAGCACACATCTTGCAGGGTAGACCGGCTGTCCTGGACAGACCTCAAAGTTTTGCAGAATCAATATAAAACTTCGGAGATCTTGTTGATCATTTTGTCTGGAATGGATCCATAACTACCAACTGCAGTGTTTAATTCTAAATTCTATGTGATTAATTTTTATTTTAAATGAAGTGGATTGAGCGGGTATGTGAAAATATTGAAATTCCTATTAGCAAGTGGGAGTTGGAAAACATGTAAAATGAAGGTTATTAGTAAATCAAAGCCAGAAATCTGTATGTTGGGATTGCTGGGAAGCAATAAGCAGAAAACTGCAACTTCTGTTAGCATCCTGAGTGGTTTAGGTTTTGTCTGTGAGGCTGTGGAAGGGGAAGATGAGAAGAACTCCATCCAAAAGCTATCAAGAAAAAATAATGAGGTGACAAGTGAGATAAGTTCGCATTACGACATGTAGTTGCTTTCTCTGGTTTCTCACTGGTTCGGTTTTGAAGCATCATGTGTCCATAGGCAATTGATACCAAATGAATGTCCAGCTATGAAGCAAACAATACAGTTACTGTATCATGATTTTCTCCCTCCAAAGCCTTGCCACAATAGAGGTAAGGCTGTACTGTCTAATTACTCCTTTGCCACATCTTTTTCCATTTTAGTAATCTCCTTTGGTGCACTGGCTAGGGCACATTGTTCTGTTCTACAATGCCCAATCCATTGTATAAATGTAAATGTACTTACGTATGTTGCTGGAGTGGGAAGGGCTCACTTGAAAGTATAATACCATTCATCCCTGATTTCCAGTACTCCCTTCTATAGCTTTTTTTTTTTTTTTTTTTTTTTACTTCTCATTATGAGGTTTTGATTATTCTGTTTGGAGAGGACTATTTCTCAACTTATTGCAGGATATTTTAATTCCTAAAGTGCGCACTGATTTTCTTTTTATTTTTTTTTCCCCCTCTCCATTAAGCTCTGTGGCTTTACTTTCAGGGTGTACTGTTTGGGTTTTTCTGGAGGACAGAAATGTCTTTAGTAGAATTCTGCAACACAGTTCCACTTTCTAGCCAGAGTTGCCTTTTAAAGCTGATCTTAGCCTTTGGGGAGCCCTGCACAAGATTTTCTCCCCTCCATCTCCTAAACACTGGCCCATGGTGTTCTGTGTGACCAGTCAGATAAAGGCCATCTGAGAATTCTCAGGACTGTAACAAAAGGAGCAGACATGGCTAATGGTGGTTCAATAAGAAATTAATCCACTGTCTGATGATAAGGTTTACCTCATTCTTTTTCTTCAGGGAAAAATTGATCCCTGATGTAGCCATTATGCCTCTAAGTGTCAGATTGCTGTGAATGCATAGTACTCGATGCTAATGAACACAGTGGTTGTACGTACATTGACTGTTCCATGTCTCTAATTTGCTACGAGAGCGGGGGGGGTGGGCATTGCCACTTCTGGTAATTGGAGAAGCTGTTTCGAAGATTAATGATGAACTTTCTGTTGGGAATAGGTCTCCAGGCCTCCTGAGGTAGGTTGTGTGGCCTGTAATGTAGCTGAAATCATGGCTAAAAGTCAAGCTGCAGAGGTAAGAATCCTATTCAGCTGATGTTGGTGGATGAGAGTTGGCAGTTCCTGTCCTTTTTTGCCACAAATCTATTTGGGACCTTTCTGACAAAAGAGGCTTCTATCTGTCCCCAGAAGTAAGGGACTTGGGATTTTTATTGAATGTCTTGGGAACCTACAAGAGGCATTAAATACAATGCTGTGGAGAAAAAGGAAATAAACAACCTGGCTATCGGCTTTCCTTAGCTTTCATTTTATAGGCTGATTTTACAAAGGATTGTTGGGTTTGTTAAAGGTTCTCCTTTAAGCTTCTAAATCCCAAATCTAGTGTTAGATGGGCATATCTCTGGCCAAAGACCAGCTTTACTCACCCTGGGTATTTGTTAACCATTCTCTCTTTTCACAGAATCACAGAATAGTTGAGGTTGGAATGAACCTCTTGAGACTGTCTAGTCCAAATTCCCCCCTCAAGCAGAGTCAGCTGGAGCAGGTTGCCCAGGAGAGTGCAGTCAGGTTTCAAATGTCTCCAAGGATGGAGACTTTACAACTTCTCTGGGCAATCTGTTTCTGTTTGACCACCTTCGTAGTAAAAAAAAATAAATTGTTCTTCTGTGTTCACATGGATTTTCCTGTGCTTCGGTTTTCCCATTGCCTCTTGTCCTCTCACATGGCGCCACTAAGGCAAGTCTGGCTCCTAAGTCCTCCCATCGGGCATTTACACACATGGATGAGATCCACACCACAGACCCCAGAACCTTCTCTTCTTTAGGCCGAAGAGTGCCAGCTCTCTCAGCTTTCCCTTGTACGAGGTGCTCCAATTTCTTTACCATTTTAGTGGCCCTTTGCTGGCCTCACCTCAGGAAGTCCGTGTCTTGTGTCAGAGCTCCCAGAACTAGAGGCAGCAATCCAGATGAGGCCTCACCAGCGCTGAGCAGAGAGGGAACCACCCTCCCCAGTGTGCTGGCAGTGCTTTTCCTAATGCAGCCCAGGATACTATATTCTCTCTTTGTGGCAGCTGAACAAATCTAATTTCTAATCTTATAAATAGGGAATGCTTGAATGTTAAATATAAAAAGATTTTCAACACTAAATAGCACTTACCCTTATGGATTAAGAGAGAATATTTAAGCTCTGTGTAATCACCATGCCAGTAATGCTTAACAGGACATGACTTCTGTAATGGTTTATGTCCCATTCTGTGCTGAAATCATAGGGTAAAAGAAGAATTGCGACAAAACGAGATAAAATTACATTTCTCCCTCCTTGCTCGCACTTCCCACCTTTTTTTCTTTTTAAGCTGAAATTAAAAACTCACTTGTGGGAGGGAGGAAATATTGGGGATTTTTGTCTAAACATATTTGATTTTGGTAAAAGCAGAACTTTGATTTAATCAGAATACTCTTCTTCTGACTGATAGAGAAAATACCAGGTGAGACATTCAGTGTTCACTATTTAGAAACCAAGAGCCAGATCTATGATTATCAAAATCTGGTTCACTAGCTGAGGAGATGCACACTTGCTGCATCCTTTTAAAAGCAGGGGTGAAAGTGGCCTGCTTTTTGGGTGCTCCATGAAAATGTGTGGTAGTTGAGCATTTTCA